CAGAAAGTAAAGTTACTTTACTTTTAGATCTGGATCCCACTTTTTTCACTTAATCAATTATATACTCAACATTACCAAATCCACTGCCAGGATCACAAAATAATCATTATAAATACTCGCTCACTCCTTTTGCCATAAAAACCACGTTTCTCAACTCCTCGCAAATTTACTCACGACCCCCCCTTCCCCAATAGCCGACACAAACATCCCATTTCACACTATTATTATCTCATCTCTAATTATCTTAATACGCAACCTCCCTTCCTCGCACACCACAATTCATTTCATCGCAAATTCAATTCGACACACGCACACGCTCATATTTGATCTGGTCACGTGTACCCACATCCTCTAGCTGGCCAACCTTTCTCCTTGGTTACCTATAACCGCCTTCTCCACTGTGATATTCACCGGTTGAGGTGGATGTTAGTTCGAGCTTTCCTCTGCTCTGTTATCTAAACTTTTGTCCCCCCGGGTAAGTTTTTCCTCTTGAATTATTTCTTCTCGGTCAAGACTAGATTATTATATGTTCTCTCCGGATCGAATGAAAACTATCCCACGCCATGGTGTCATGAGAATCAACTAGACCCTCCTCAAAATAATAATTCTATTGGATAACAATGATTGTTCTTTTTTTTTGCGCACGCTTTTGACTCGAAAAATTCGATCCTCTTTAGTTTTTCGCGAACTTGAACAAACGTTACTTGGCTGACCAATCCGATCAAACAATATCTGTCGGAGAAACCAAATATAATTAAGTGTGTTTTTGTTTACCATCAGCCCAAATTATAATATTTATTCGTGTTCATCTACATCAGTTCTGACCACGTATCTTTTTTTTTTCCTACACTTCGCAATTTCAGAACAACTCCCTGCATTTGATCCCTTGCTCGTGTCCTAAACCACATTCGGTCAACCTTACTTAATCTAATTTTCACGTGTCTCTCCCGCATTAGGCAATCTTATGATCTCTATTAAATTTTGAACCATAGGACGATCTTGTGTTTGTCTGATCTAATCAACAATCACACTTTTAATATCCTTTTTTAGAAACAACAATGGGTGTGTAAACAAATACGTACACGTAATATTGTTTAGTGTAACCGGCATTTTTTAAATATATAAAGCACTTTTTTTTTTCTCACTTACAGTGTCTTTTCTTTTTTTTTTTTTTTTTCGAACAGCTTCCAAGGCGCAAACCATCATTCAACTATCTCAATCACTTCCAACTTCTGCCACTCATCCAATGCTCAATCATCTGAGCCCTCGGGGGTTCCACTTTGACACCACCACCAATACCCGAGACCTTTCTTCACGAGAATACCATCATCACTTTTACCCCCACGCAATCCACAATTCCGCGAATTCAAATGCGCCATCGTTATGTCAGTCACATCACTCTCAACACAACGCTCAAACTATCTATCACCCCCATTCATTACAGCGCGACACTCCCACCGGCACTGATTCTTCACAACCGCCTATCATCAACAATTTGGTAATGCCCATTTTCTCTCTGCAAGCGTCCACCCCTCCACATGCACAAACCCCTAATCAAACTCAAACCCAATCTCAATCTCATAATCAACACCAAATCTCTTCTCCGATGTCCGTGAATGGCAACACCACTGGTGCGACCACAACCACCATGATGCACGCCCATCATCATGCTCATCCGAACAACATGTTTATGGTCCCTCACCAAATGTCCACCGGCATCGGCACGATTTCTCCGAACAATCAGCACCCACAAAATACTCATGGAAATCAAAACATGTATATTGTGCCTTCCATGTCTCTCGTGCACTCGAATTGTGCTTCTTCTTCGGCACCACTTTCACAGG